TTCAAAACCTTCAAAGGCTTCCCAACTTAATAGACCAAAGTCAAGGCTTGGCGGTGGCACATGGCTCCTGTCATGATTTGTCTTTTTAGTTCTTTATTGTGTCTGCAATGCTAAAAACAGTGTTCAGCAGGGAACAGGCACTCAGTAAATATTCGTTGAATTAATGAATTTATAAGATGCCTTATTGTTTACAAAGTGCTTTTACACCTGTCTTCTGGTTATTCATCTTCACCATAGTCTCACAGATCATCATATCTGTCTTGCAAATCAGTAAACTGAAGCAAGAGAGGCCAACTTGGCTGAAGTAATACAGTGGGTTGTTGGTGGAAGCTAGACTAAGTCACAGTTTCATTCTCTTAAGCTGGGGCTTTCAACTCTGCAGGGAGCTGTCTCTGCATATGGTAAAGCACAAAGCTGAATGAGATCTGGACAAAGAGTCTGCCCTCACAATCTAGAGAGTATCTGGACTATTGCAGTGATTAAATGAGGTGAGGTAAGGCGCTTAGCACAATGTATAACGGAATAAATGAGAGTCATTGCTGTTACATTTATTATTAAATTATTATTATAAATTGGTTGATGCTGGTGGTTGGAGGGTTTGGGGTAAAGGGCAATGGCCAGAGATCTAGAAATGGTTTAGGAAAAATGTCAGGAGCAAACATGACCTGTTGGAACTGTCTGCTCTACGTACACTAAAATAAAAAGATAATTAAAAAAAAAAAACATTTCATGTCCACATAAAGGTGGATTATCCCTTTTTCCTATACCTGAAAACAACTGGGCCGGCCATAGAAGGCCCAGAGGTATGTCGACTAAAGCACTGGGTAAAGAAGGATGAATTTTTTAAAAAAGAGAGAGATGAAAGTCAGGAAATAAAGGGGTATGGGTGCCTAAGTGTGGACAGAGTTCTAGGCAGTAAGGGTGGAGAGGAGGGAGAGCCAGAAAAAGGTATGAGGAAGAGGAGGGTAAAGTAGAACGGGAAAAAGACAAGGAGAGAAAGCAGGCAGGGTTTTATGCCTTCGGCTTAGCTATTAGTATAATAATAAACACTTAGTGAGTGCTTATTATGTGCCAGGCACTGTCTGCAGCATTTGAGGATCTCGTGAGATTCCCGCGGTATGATTGTTGCTGAGAGTTTGCTCCACCTTCTCTGGTTTAGGTCCCTGCACTTTGTGGTGTGACTCTCAGTGCCTCCTGGTGAACCACATGCCCGTCCCACTGATGTTGACTTGATCACTGACTTGCACTGGCTGACTTCATGTGACTGGAGGCAAGGGGTACACCACATCCTGGAAGAAGCTTTGAGTCACTGCCCTTCTGCCAGGACTCTGCTCTTTCCCTCTGCCTTGAGAATAGCATGTCCCCAGTACGGGATGCCCCCTTAGTCTAGGACCCAGGATGAGAAGACACATGGAGCAGAGCCATAGAAGCCCACTGTAGCTACAACAGTCCCACGAAACGTGAGAGAAACAAATGCTCTTGTAACACTGAGTTTCTTGGTGTTATCTGTTACTGCATTAAAGTTGACTAACGTACCTCCCACCACCCTTAAGAGATAGGAATTGCTATTATCCTGTGATATTATGAAATATATAGTTGGTGGATTTCCTGACATACAACTTCTAAAATCCTTAGAATCTCCAAAGTGATGTCTTTTAATATGTGAATGAGTTGACTGGTGGCCGGCAGCCCCTGGGTAGCTTCAGGATGGGGCTGGTCACTGGAAAGACCAAGGCAGGATTAGAAGAATGGCAATTTCAGCTCCACCCAATCAACATTGGGTGGAGGAGGGCGACTGAAGGTGAAGTTGATCACAAATGGTTGATGGATTAATCAATCTTGCCTATGTTATAAAGTCTCCATAAAAGCCCCAAAAGGACAGGGTTCGAGAGCTTCTAGATACCAGAACACATGGAGGTTCCTGGAGGGTGGGGCGTGCAGTTGGGGGTGCAGCGGGGAAGAGGCATGGAAGCTCCACACCCTTTCCTTCGTATTTCACCCTGTGCATTTCTTTTTCTGTATCCTTTGGAATATCCTTTGTAATAAACCATTAAATGTGTTTCCCTTGAGTTCAGTGAGCTGCTCTTAACAAATTAACCCAAGGAGGGGGTCATGGGAATCTCAACTTGAAGTGGGTAGTTTACAAATTCCAGAGGCCAGGGCTTGTGATTAATAAGAAAGGTGGAGACCATCTTATGGAGCTGAGCCCTCAACCTATGAGAGGTGATGCTATCTCCAAGTAGATAGTGCCAAAACTGACTTATAGGACACCCAGCTTGTGTCCCTGCAGAAATGATTGCTTGGTTAGTGTGTGGGGAGAATCCCCCACCTCATTTGGTCACAGAAGTCTTTTGTGATCATTGTTGCTGAGTGAGAGAATAATAGAAAGCACTTTGAGTTTGTTTTCTTCCACATAGAATCCCCATTTCACAGATGGCAAAACTGAGGTAAGAAACTCGCTCACGGTCACACACATTTATAAGTAGCAAAGCTAGACTTTGAAGTCAGAAAGTCTGGCTCCAAAGCCTATTAACCTCTCAATAACACTGTATCTCCCAAATGAGATTCTAGGTAATTTTTATGCAAATTAAATTATTGAAAATGGTCGTACATGTTATTTACAAAACACAAAGGAGAAAGGGAACAAGGGCATGGGAGACGGGGGGTGGACATAGTCTGGGCATCTTTCTGCACATATTTCTGGGGATTCTGGCCCAAGAGAGGCCAGATCCCCTTAGTGGCTGGGGTGTCTCCGGGAAACTGCCCAGCAGGGGCCAGTGTGCCCCTGAGCCCAGTGGTATTTGAAGGATTCATTCTAGGAAGAAGGGTCTTCTGTGGTGAGAAAAATCCTCGCAAGATAGTTTCATTTTCCCATGTCTTTGATCCCTGCACCCTACTGACTTGCATGTGTGTGTGTGTGTGCACGCGCACACACACACACACACACACACACACTCTCAGCAGCAAGCACCGCTGCCTTGGGTCTGTGTTTGACAACACGAATCCCCAGCCCAAGTGCCAGAAAGGCAGTTATAGGTGTGGCTCATGTGCAGCAGCAAGAGTGATCCTTCTCCCATGAAGACTTCTCAGCCAGGGATCCTGAACAATGGCTCTCTCCATCAAGCCTGAGTTTCGTTTCCTTTGCATTCTCTGGGAAAGAAAAACCCTGGGAATTCCCATTCCTAGGTCTGAGAAAACATCTCTGTTAAAGGTTGACCAGGAGGGCAAAGGGCCCCACCCTGAACAACATGAGTCTTGGGCAGGGCATGTGAGCAGCTGGCCTGATCCCAAACAATTGCAGCTCTCAGGGCCTAAATATAGCCCAGCCATCTGGCTGTTTTTACACTCAGTTGCTTGGCTCTGATTGACCAAGCTTCCCGTCTGATCACTGCTCAGGGACTGAGGGCAGGGGGCTGTTGCCCACCACTGCACCTGGCAAGGATATCCTGCTGCCCCTCTGCAGCTGCCAGGCACCTGCGTCCTAAACACCAGGGGCACATTGTGCATGGCTGGTCCCTCCACAAATCATCTGGTCAGACTGGTTAAGCCTTGGAACTAATTTCCCTGGGACTAAGGGGCCAGATGTATCCTGGGTGAACCCTGGCTCTATTTTGCCAGTGGAAAGGTCTTTAATCCATTTTCTGGTAAACATTCCAAGCAGGTAGCATATGGTTATCACCGAAAAAACAAGATGTTTTGATCCCTTCTGGTAATTTGTTCTGGACAAACAAACTTGTTTTTCCTGAGTCCAGTCCTTTTGCAATCATGCTGATTTCATCCTGTGCTGTTTATTATTCTCTCTGGTTCTTGTAGCCTGGCAAGACAGTCCTGTTTAGGAGACAACACTCTCCCTTAGGGATCTTTGCTTTATCTTTGGATACCTTTATTACCTGAGACATTAGGTAGCCAAGGGGTATACAGGAAATACCCAAAGCTCTATGGAGAAAGAAAGTGGTGGTTCCCTACCGGAACCAGTAGGAAACCACAGAGACCAGCCTCTAACATTTGAAATTATGGCTTTGAGGTGAGCTGAATTCGCAGCTTTTCAGATTGCATCTGAAAAGCAAATATGATGTTGATTTAAAAAATGTGAATCCCTCAGCCGAGTGAAGTGTATACTTTTTCCCTTTTTCTGAGTCACTTGCTAGTGACTGTTCAGACCTGTAATGTTCAGAAATTAGTTTGGTAACACCTACTTTAAAAGTGACACTGATCCAAAAAAGGTCTTAAATAATATTGTAATAACTTGCAAAAGTAAACCAACCAATCAAACAGGCTGGTGCTTAAAGAGGGTCTCCTTCTCCACCAGCTTCCTGTGTGCCAGGCCCTGGTGTGCTCCCGGCTGGCAAGTGTGTGTTGGCCTGCAATACCAGGTGCCCTTCTTAACCAACTCTGCCTTGGCCACGGGCTCCCTGCTTGACTATCTCCTGACCCTCCCAGTGTCTGGCCTTCTTCTCCTGATGAGGAGACCCCTAGACACAGGGCAGACTGACTCCATCTTTGTGCCTCCAGGGCCCAGCACAGGCCCAGCACAAGGCAGTCAGTCAGTTACAGCTGAACAATGGGACAGCAGCTGTCCTCCACCTGAGGTTGTAAGTAATAGCTTGGGTGTAGAATTACCTGGAAGCTTCTGTTTGATTTGTTTTGGACCCTCTTCTAGGCCCTGCTTCCATCCCACTTGAGCCCTGGCCTGGAAGATTCCTGGAGCCCTTCTGATGCTAAGATTCTGTGACTCAGGGTGACTCTATTGCTCATCATCCAGGTCACCTGTAGGCCCCCACCAGTGACACCTGCGTGTTCCATGGCAGCCTCCTCTCAGGATCCACACTAGTCCCTGGGGCATGCTCAGAAATGAAGGAGTCATGTCAGCTCCTAAAGCAGCGAGCTGTGGCTCTTCTGCCAAACATGGCCACACATCCTTTAGGATAAGAGTTTCAGAAGTTAGAGCCAGGGCTCAGGGTGGACGCACAGAAAGAAAAGAAAAAAAGAAAGCTTGATTCTCATGTCTTCAATACAGCATGACTTTATTGAGCACCTAAGGATCTATGCTGCCAAAGGACAGCAGAGTGGACCAAACAGTGGGCAGGCTTCCCCTGCATCTCCCTGTGTCTGTGATGATGGAGCTGGGTTGGGGAAATCCTGCTGTGACACTTGCCCTGAAGAGCAGCTCCACACAGCATGGTGGCTTCCACACTCTGCTCTTGATAGGAACTGGTAAGGAGCTTCTACATGCATTAGAGATGGAGCCTCTCCTATCTTTGCAAGTCTTTGTGGCTCTTCCCTTTAAATCTGCCATCCATAGACCTCAACAGGAGAATAATTTGGTCTTCAGTTTGCTGTTTTAGACAAACACTTAGCATGACTGATGTAAACTGTTGCATAATTTTGCAAAGGCTTTCTCATTCATTCCAGAAATTCTCCATCAGTCACAAACATAAATTGTTAGGTATCTGGCCCCAGGGGATTCAAAGTCCTTTCCCCCAAACAAACATTTTTTTCGTTATCATTTTTCCTTAAGGGGAAATATTGAAAGTTGTCCCCACACACTAGAGGATCCCAGAGAAGGCAACAGGCACACAGGCGTCCACCGGACAGTGGTGATGGGGCTGAGCACCGCCTTCCTGAGCTGCTACTGGGCAGCCGTGGACTCCCACCCACAAAGGGCAGCACCCTCTCAATGCCATGTGGACCCTCCTCAGTGTGATTGAATGGCCGTGCTTCTTACGGCAAGCTCCTTATAAGAATCCCTTTAGGTCTCTCTGATGAAGTAAAGGCTGATTTCTGCAGAGAAAGTGAGATGAAATACTCATGGCCTTACTCCTGGTCTCACCTCTTTGCCGGGGCCCTGAGCTGTGCGAGGCTCACAAGGTGACACTGGAGGCTTAGAGGCCAGGGACGCTGTGGCAAGGTGATGGCTGAAAGCAGTCTAGTCTCATACCTGCTTGCAGGCCCTGCTTTTCCCAGTAGCATTTCTGCAGGGCAACATGGTGTGAGGGCAGGCAAGAATCTCATATAAAGGAAGAGGACAGGGGCTTGTGGCCCCACAGGGTCTCAAGGACAGGCACTGAGCAAGTGGATGAAGCCTAAGCTGCAGAGGCTGGGCTAGCACTGCTCTCCAGTGCAGGAGAGGCGTGATGTCGACAGGGCTGGCCACATAGATCTGACCCAGCAAGTTTCTGGCCCCTCAGGCCTGGATCTGCTTCCTGTGGGTGCTCACATCAGAGCCAAGAGGCAGGGCTGCAGCAATCACGGTGCTCAGGCTTCAGACAGGTAGATGTACAGGAGCTCGATTCCTCAGGCGGTAGCCAGCAGTCAATGTGACTGGCCAGGACCAGCCACCAGGGCTCAGTGTGCACCTGCTTCGGCTGGGGACTTTGGAAGAGGCAGGTGCTGGCCAGCTACTTGGCCTCCACCAGCTGCTCCAGGCGCTGCAGCATCGTCAGACGCAGGGCTTGGAACCTGGAGGGAGATATTGCCAAGAGGACTCACTGCGGGCAGGGCAGGGAGGTGGGCAGCAGAGCGAGGGACCTGCAGACGCCTGGCTCAGGAGACCCCTGCAGCAGCCACGTCTCTCCTTTGCCAAGGAGAGGGAAGGCCGTGGCCTGTGCCTCATGAGGAGCAATCAAACCAGGCTGTGGACTGCACAGAGCATCGAAGCAGAGTGTTGTCATTTCTATTGCAAAGACTCTAACACGGACAACAGTGCACTGGAGTGGACAGGGCAGGAGGGCAGAGATCCAGAAGCCCATGTTTCAGCCTGGATTCTGCCATAACCTGTGCTGCAACCTTCCTCATGCTGGGTCTCAATGTCCACCCTGAATATCGAGAGGACCCACTGGATGACCCCCAGATCCCTTCCAACTCTCAGATGCTACAGGGTCAGCATGGACTGCAGAGTGGAAGGTTCCCCCTGACTGCAGTCTCCTCTGTCTGTGTGGGGTCTGGCTGCGCAGATGGGAGACTATGGAGAATGTGGCTTTCCAAGGGTCATTCAACCAGATGCCAACATCTATCCTTTCCCCACCCACCCCAGGCCTTCTCAGTGAGCTCCTGCCCTTTCCTTCCTAGCTGCCTATCCGCCGGCCCTGGTGAGGTGCTCTCCACAAGTCCTGCGCCACACTTCACCTTGCTGAAGGGGGGAGGCGACGTCATTGGGACCACAGTCTGGCTAACCTCATGCAGCCAGGCCCTGGTGTGGCATCCCCAGGAGCCAGCAGGTGACACCTGCTCATCTTTTCATTGAACTAGCCCTCTGCACCTGAAAACATCAGCTGAGGCTGGAGTTCCAACATCTGCCACTGTGGGGAAGGATCAGAATTCCCATGAGGATGAAAGGCCCCAACCAGGCCAAGTCTGCCTCAGCATGCTGGCTCCTCGGAGCCACATCACCAGTGGAACCCGGAAGCCTGACCCGGCGCCCACGTGCGTTCCTGCCTGACTCTCCTGCCCGCTGTTCTGCAGCTCATGCCTGTGCTGGTGAGGATGCCGAGACTGGATGGGTGATCGTGGCTGTGTCCCACCATTTTGGCAAGCTATCACCCCAGCATGGTGGCAATACTAAGCAGGGAGCCAGAGGGCGATGCTGGTGAGCCAGGGTTAGCAGGCCTCCCTATGCCAGGGCACCATGCCCGTGGAGGAGAGAGACCTCCCAGCTGGCATTGGTGCTGTGCCTTGCAGACCTGCCCTGATGCTCAGGACCCATGACTGGCTGTTTAAGTGCTGCTTACTTCATGGTCAGTTTGATTATTTCTCTTTCCTCCTCTTCTTTTAATTTTTCAACAAAACTGTCCAGCACCGGCATTTCAAACTTAATGTATTGAGCGACCTAGAAAATCCAAGAACATTTTAATGTGCTTTAAATTTGAAGCCAGAAGTATGTTTTCTTTTCCTAAAGGCTTCCATAGTGGCCCATTCAGCCAACATCTTGTATCTACAGAAGGAGCTGCCGCTTTTCCCACCCCACCCCCACACTGCTGTGTTGTCTACGGATGCCAGGATTGGGAGCCTATTCTTATCTCAAAGGCAACTGTTATCCCTGGGAGGAAATGTTAAGCTGAATATTAGGAAGAGCATTCACTACAGCAGCATTGTCACATTGGGTGCTCTCTGCGCTGGGGGCTGGGGAGGTGGGAGCGCCATTGTTTCTAACAATGGAATACAACTGCCTGAGGGACACGTGGTCTCTAGGACTCCCACTTGAGGTTCAAACCCTGTAAGCGGCCTCTATGCAGAGAAGTCTGGAAATGCCCTCCCTGACTGGTCAGAACTCAGGCTGCTGGTAAGACTTAATATCTCCCTGTCTTTCACAGGCTCCAGGTAGGCCACAGTTAAAAAGCCTTTGCCTAGGTCTCTCATATAATGACAACAAAACACATTCCAATGAAGGAAAAGGCTGTATTTCCCTGAGACAAAAAGCACAGGGCCACGGTTGTAAAGGACCCAAGTTCTTCTTTCCCCTAAGCTGCTGGCGCCGGCAGTCACTGATGGGAGAGGGAGGGCTCATGCCTCCCTGTGCTGGGCCTGGAACCCTTTGGGAGGGTGTGGAGTTCCTGGAGACATCATCTGGGAGGGCTCTGGTCAGGAGTCGCTGGGGGGCCCCGTCACCCAAGAGCCTCTCACTCTACAGCAGGCCTCCCCAGCCTCAGCCCCAACTCACGTCATGTGGGACTTCCACGCCCAAGTCGGCTTCCATCAGGAACATCCTGGCGATCTTGTCACATGGCCCATGCAGGATTCTGGAAATCAGCGGGTACTCGCAGTCTTTTAATTTTGTCCGCTCTGAAAAATAAGGTGGTTTACAATGACAGGAGAGTAGGATCACCTCTCTCTGTTCCAGACTAAGAACTGATAGAAAACGCGTAACACGTCTGAACACAGACCTTGCTAACAGTGCTGCCCTGAGAGATGCCTGCTCACACTGATGGGAGGCACAACAGGGCCCCCAAACTGCTACTTCGGCGTAAGGATTAAGTGGAACCACTGGCAATTGAGAAGAAGCAGACACAAGAGAAGCTCTCCACCCTCCCCTATTTGTCGTAAAACAGGACATAAATTTGTCAAGGTGTCCCCCCGCCCTCCCGCCACTCTCTAGGGAAGGATAGGGTTAATCACCAGACACAACCCGAGCCCCTCCTCAGCCTGGAAAGGGCACCAGAAGAACCTGCACAGCATGTCCTGGTCCCTTCTTCCCTTCCCACAGTTCTCCATAGGATAGGGTGGCCTTCCTGCCCTGCACCTCACCAGAAACTCAGGCCATTCTCCTCTGTCTTGTCACTTCTCTAAAAACTTACTGTTCTTTTGTGAAGATGTTATTTAAGCCCAAGTTCTAACCACTCATTCCGGGATGTTCCCATGGGCATGCATGATGCAAGAGTGAACAAATTTCTGTTTATTCTCCTTAATCTGTCTTTTGTTAATCTAAACACAGAGCCCCAGCCAATGAATCTAAACTGGTAGAAAAAACAGATGTTTTTCCTCCCCTACAGTGTCATTGAGCAAAGGTGCAGCTTGAAGAGAAACAAGATCTGAGGGGGTGGGAGAAAGGAGAGCTGAGATGGGGGGCCAGGGCCTGATGCCGTGTGACATGCACCCCACCCCTCCTAACTCAGCACCAATAAGCTAGGGACCCATCTATTTCACTGGAAGAGGCAGAGAGGGAGGCTTCCTACAGTTTGGTGGGATTCTGAAAGGGATAGCAAGTGTGCCCGGGTGTGGGTAGGGGACAAATGTTCATGCTGGGAGGCACTGAGTGCCCCAAAGTGGGGGGGGGGCAGCTGCTCCCAGACCCCTAGGTAAGGAGTACCGTCTCGCGGCGGGTAGGGGGTCTTGCTGAACAGGCAGAGACCTTTTGCTTTTATGATCAGAAGCGGAGCAGGTACTTACCCCCAGACTCGTGAACGATGTAGAGTGAGAACTCACTGGGACCGTCTTCCACCTGCACAGGCAGTCACAGGAAGTCAGATCACGGTGCTTTGAGATGGGAAAGAACTGAGAGGGTCCCCTGACAGCAACCACACCCCCAGTGACACACACACAAGCCGCAAGGAACGTGCCCTCCCCCAAGCCCCTTCTGCTTAAAATCCGAGAGACAAAAGCTCAGCAGATGGAGGCTTGCTAGTCCACGCAAGAGCCACGGGCAGCATTCCCCAGCACCCCACGCCTGACAGAACAGCAGACCACTGGCATCCCCGGGCAAGGCCGCTCCTGACCAGGCTTACCCTGAACTTGTTCAGCAGAAGGGTGAGCACCTGCAGGGTTGTCATGGTGCTGTTGACCCTCACATTGGTCACGGACCCATAGGCCGGAGTAAACACAGAGGTCTGTACCGGGAAGGGAGAGAAGTTCAGGGTAGGCCCAGAGGGGACGAGGGGCTGACATCACTATAATGAACAGACCCAGGCAGCCGGTGATGCTGAGATCTAAGAACACCTCTACCTGTCCATTCACGCGGACACACACACAAGCTGTTCCCAGATCTGGGGGACACTCTGGGAAGCTATAGTAGTGCACGCCTTCCATGGGCCTAAGGAAGATGTCGACACACCCAGAAGGGCCACCTCTCTGGACCGGAGGAACCAGGGCCATGGAAGTCATTCACAAGAGTGGAGCAACCAGTCTCTCCTTCACTCCTTCTATTGATCAAGTCACCAGGTGTCTGTTGATTCTAAGGCTGAAAGTTCCCTAATCTGTCCCCCCTTTTCATTCTCCCAGCGGTGCCTAGTAGAGGCACAGTCTCACCACATCAGCTTCCCAACTTGTTCCCTTCTCGTCTCAGGGCCTCTAATCTGATCTCTGCACCGCCTCCCACAGGCACAGACTTCCAAGACTCCTGCACCTGCAAGTGTGGTCTAGCTCAGCTGCATGTGCGCAGGCTCGGCTCCCTGCCCTACCCTGCTCCACGCCACTTGAATCAGAGTCTATGTTTGTACAACACCAGGCCACGCAATCTGTGCAGCTCAATGTGAGCAGCACTGTTTGAAGGCACAGGTCTAAAAGTATCTGACGCCTTCCTGGGGCCTGTGCAGTATCATCTGTAGTTCTTCTCATTGTCACGCATGTATGATACCCTGTGCTCCAGTCACAGAGCTTCTTCACAATTTGGTGGGGGGAGGGGGACACATTATATTTTTGCAGGTATCTTGCCTTTGCCTATGAGACACCATATATGAAATCAACCAGGACTCTGCCTGACACACAATAGGTTGGCCCTCAATAAACACTAGCTGTGTATTGAACCTGCTAAGATTTTACATACAACCATTGATTTAATATGCATAACAACCCTTTGAGGCGCCTATAACTAGTCCCCTTTTCTTAGAAAGGAATCAGAGGCTTTAGGAGGCTAATCAGCTTGTTCAGAGTCACCCCTTTAGAAAAGACAGAGGCCTGACTCAAAGAATTCCATGGTTTCTGAAAACCTACATGTTACCACCTTGGTACTGGTACCTCTCAGTGAATGTGACTCCTCTGCAGGTGAACTTCTCCTTGCTTTTCAAACTCAAGTTTAGGTTTGCATATTCCTTCTCTGAGGTCCTAGCTCTGTTTTCCCAAGGAGGTAGCTGAGGCTCAGAGAGCTCAAGGACCTATTCAGTATTCCCCTGCCGCCCCAATCCCTGCTTTGATAAGTCCAGGCACACCTGGGAGCCACTGTTGGTTCGGTTCCAGACCATCACAATGAAGTGAATATCTCAATAAAGTGAGTCACACAAGTTTTTGGTTTCCCAGTGCATATAAAAGATATGTTTACACTATACTGTAGTTTCTTAAGAGTGAGATAGTATTGCAGTTAAAAAATGTGCATGCCTTTATTAAAACTACTTTACTGCTAAAAAATCTGACACAGACACAAAATGAGCACACGCTGTTGGAAAAATGGCGCCGACAGACTTGTTCAACACAGGATTGCTGCGCACCTCCAATTTGTAGAAATGCGAGTGCAGTAAAAAAAAATTGCAGATTTTTACAAATGGAAGTTGCTGCACGTCTTCCATTTGTAAAAATCTTCAAGGCACAGTAACAAGAAGCACAATAAAACAAAGCATGCTGTGCCAGAGTCAGACTCAGCTGTGACCTGCTTCCCCCGGCTCAATTCTAGTTGAGGCTGTGACCTGCTTCCCCCATCTTGATTTTAAGAATGACTGAGTTACATAGACAGCCAGAATTAGGATTAGGCTTTCTGTTCCTAAGAAACACGGAAGAGAGGAGTTCGGCTATTTCAAAGAGACAAAAAGTCTTGTTAACAAGACATTGTTTATGTTTCTTCTGTATGAAGACTTTTCTCAAGACAATACCAACCAACTCCATGTAGGAACCAGGGTCCCGTGGTTACTTTCTCACCTCTAATCACAAATGGTTTCTCTCTAACAGAATGCATTGGAATCCAACAGGCCAGGCAGTGGGAACAGCTACAAAATTTCACCCAGTCTGGAAATAAAACCATCATTTCTGGGAATCAGAACAGTTTTGGATAACAACTGGGTGAAGTAATAATGCACTGTTCTAAGAAACAAAACCTGGAACTATCTCAGAAATTCAATGCTAGGAATTATTTATTTTTCAATTATTGCCTCTGACTCAAGGAATCCACGCCCTAATTTCTAAGGACATTAGTTCTGTATGGATATTGAGTGTGGTGAGAAACAGGGCTTTTTGCATAGAGGTTTTCTTTGGGAGTCCCCTTACCCAGGAGATGGGGAAACTACTGTCCCAAGTGCTTAATACACTATTCCGTGTCCTTGAAAGCAGTACTTTTTCCTGGAAGAATGGATTCACATTCCACAGGTAAATCTGTCGCTAGGAGAAAAAGCTGCCCTCACTGGGTGATAGGCTGAGGCCCCCTGTCGTCTGGCTGAGCAGCTCTTCTAGGTAGTGTGGTTCAGACAGAAATGAGAGGCTGTGATGAGAACCCTCACTGTTCATTTCAAAGGCCGCATAGTGCTAGGGACGTGATGTTCCTATGACATTGGCAATGACTACAATGAGCTTGAATGTGCTACACACATCTCTTAGTGATGAGTGAGATCCTTCGAGAACTAGCGAATGTACTAAACAAAGCTAAGCCCCACCATTCAGTACTTTGAATCATGGAGCAAAAGATCCCCCCCACCCTTTTTTTTGTAAGGAACATAGAACTAGAAAACACCCATGCACATATTTTGGAAATTTTTGAATAATTCTTAAACTAGTGCATCAATATTTATTCAAATGCTAACAATGGGTACTTTACACATCACACAATAAACCTCTTTTGGAACAAGATTTTAAGAATACCCAAGTCATGTTATGGGTCCTTTGGCTAATCTACACACTTGTTAATCACTGCCTAACTTCAACCCTGGGTCCCCTTAACTCTCTCAGGAAACTCTACTTTGGAATAGTCCTGGATTTTTCTGAACTTAGCAAAGGCAACCCTATTATCATTCGTTCAGCTACCAAAAGCCTAGCAGAGGTGGAACGGAGGTCCTGAGATTAAAGCAGGGTCCCTTCAGCTTGCCCAGTTGAATTCCACTTTATCCCAAAGTCCAGGGCACCCCAAGTGTGGCTTGAATGGCCCCTGGATGGCCTAACCTGGGACATCTGCTCTGTTAGATCTGACTCTGAGAGCCTCCTCCTGGGCCCCCTCCCTGCCAATGAGTCATCCTCTATCAAGAAGGGCAGCTGCTTCAACTGGAAATCTCGGCTTGCATTTCCCAGTGCTGCGGGCAGGTTATGGCCTGTCACAGCACACTCCATCCAGGGCCTTGCCCAGACAGCCAACCATTCTATTTATAGTAACAATCAGCTTCTCCCGTTACAGTTCAGTTTGTTTATAGAATGATGTAATTTAGAGAAGGAGAGCTTTTCCTGAGGTCAGTGCAATGCATCCTTGGACAAAAGGCTGCTTGCTGGGAATCTGGGGTTGTCCAGGTTCTCTGCGGCACAGATACATGTGCCCTAGGCACACCCTTGCTTAATTACTCAGCTAGAGTGACGGCTGGATACATTGTTCCCAGGGGTCAACCAAACTCCTAGAAAGCCTCCCCCTTAAAGATATTATCTGCCCGGGGCACTCCCAGCTTACGTGCCAGAAATCTGTGTGACTTGTGAGGATGGACTGACAGTGAGTGTGTGCTGGAAAATGCACAGGTCACGAATGGGGCTGTTATGTGGATGCAGCCTGGCAGGAGGTTTCTCCTCCTGAGGACACTGGGATGCCAGCAGCCCCCACGCAGGTCATGGTGAGGATGTACTTCCGTGACTGTCATGAGGCTTGCTGTGCCTGTGCTCAGGGCTTGTTCACCATGTGCCCAGGGGAGGGGCCAGGTTGGGGCATCACCTTGTGGTTGTAGAAGTGGCCGTTGATGGAGAAGCGGTGTCGCTGGATGCGCTGGGCCTCTCCAGGGGTGCGGCACTTGGGCCTCCTCTGGCTCATGCAGCTGGCATCACTCTTGGTCCGCATCAGCTGGGGGGCCTCCTCATCCTCCTCCAGGGGCCCTGCATGAGAAATGGGCGAGAGGGTGGCAGGGTGGGTGATGCTGACAGTGCCACTGCCTGCTGTTGGGAGGTCTGGCTCCCATGTGCATTGGGGCAGACAGGGTCATGAGGGCCATCCCTGGACTGGAGGCTGGATATTCCCAGCTCGCAGACAGGAAGGTGAGACCCAGACAGGGTAAGCTGGGTTAACGTCACATGGCCATACCCCTCGTGGTCTCTGTCTTGGGCACCCATGGAGGTCTTCGGTGGCCCCAACCCTGTCCTCTGAGCCCCTGCTCTGAAACAGCTCCTTCACTGAGTGCTGAGAGAAGGGGCACAAAGAGGACGGCTGAGCAGGTCCCACAGGGAGGCGAAGGGTCAGGAGGACGCAGTGCCCTCAGGATGCTCCCCTTTCCCATAGTGCGCATAGGGCAAGGGACTCAGGCCACCCTCACGCTGTCACCTCCCAAGCCTCTGCTCCCTTTTCCATAAAGAGGAGTGAGAATGAGGGCAGAGCACCTCACGGGCGGGCACCTGGCTAGGGGTCCAGCAGGTAAAGCCACTCTGCTAGAGCACAAAGCTGTCCTTTGGAGATTGTGGTTGTGAGCCAAGCTCCTACCCTGGATGAGGAAGGGGTCCGGGCAGCTCACGGGCTCCGCTTACCGGAGCTGTCTCTGGAACTCTCAGCCTTATGCTCTGGCTGAGTGCTTGGCTCCTGGGCTGTGACGTTGCTGTCCTGGGGTGATGGTTCCTTTCTGAAAAGAGACAGCTGAGGTGCTGAGATGGCCGCTGACAGAGAAAGGGCGCTCAGGCCAAGGAGAAGAGACCACCAGCCCCCGGGGCAGGACACAGGCAGGAAGCAAGGCAGGCTGAGGTGAAGCCTGGATTTCAAACTGAGAGAGTCAATCCGAAACTGTAAAAGAAAAGTAGAGGCCTCCCCCACCACCTGCTGGATGGAGCGTGAGCCTGGCCCTGCAGACCTCCGGGCCTGTGTTGGGCTGCATTGCACAGACACGCAGACGCATGAACGTAGCCAGGGTCTGCACTCTCCTGGGCACCAGGCAGAGCAAGGCCAGCAGCTGTGTGCCGAACAGGATTGCTGGGCTTCCCGAAGGCCTAGTAGGGTGTCAGGCAGGGGCCACCTAGAAGGGCCTAAACTCCAGGCCTCCTGGCAAGATGAACCCAAGGCCAGGGCAGCCAGTGCTGGGCCGGAGAAGGAGGGGGTGTGTGATGAGATGGAGTCCTGCAGCCCAGAGGACCTGGGGAGGAGAAGACAGACAGGGTCCTGGAGGACGCAAGGGCAGAGCCTCAGCTGTTGCCTGTGACTGCTTGTACATCGAGGAGGGGGACATGTGAGTCACACTTGCAGCCTTCCTAAGGAGTCTGACTTTATGCTCTAATTCTGAGTGGCTCAGAATTCGCTGAGTGACCAGGAATACCTGGGGACAGGCCGGGGCTGTCAGGGTGGGGTGCTGTCAGAGCATGGGTTTTACGTGAAATCTGAAGGGGGCAAATCTCTGAGTGTGTGCCCTCTACAGGAGTTACTACTGCAGAAGCAGGTAAGGCCCAGCCACTAACTGAGTCTTTTGGGAACCGGCTGAGAAGGAGGTAAATGTGCATTAAACAGTAAGGCAGGCAGCACACCATTTCTTCCTGACAGAAACATTCTTCTGATATTAAATAAATCTAATGTGAAATTCTGATACATTTATTTAAAAAAATTGAACACTAAAATGAAAACAGAGTAGTGAGAGGCTAAATTTGTGTGAATTTTTAAGACGGAACAAGAAATGCTAAGACGTGTTTGGCTTGCACAGATGTTGGGAGCCCCCCCGCCGGACTGCAGCCGTCCCTTCTTGCCAGCAAAGTGGCTCCAGGAAACATTCTCCAGGAGGGAGGGAGAGGCCACCCTGGGCAAAGACTGAGGCAGTCATGGGACATGGGGATGAGGCTGGGTCACCCTACTGTGCCAGAATCCCATATGGGAACAGGGTTCCCACCCAGAGGCTCGGGATATCCTCAACCTGCATCCAAAACAGGGAGCTAGGGCTGAGCAGGTGTCACAGAAGCCACCAGGTCAGCTGGGCACTCACAGGTGGCAGCTGGGCTGTCTGGGCATCCATGAGGAGGAGGGGAGGTGCACCTGCTCCCGGTCATCCTGCATCTGCAGCCGGATGGGCCGCTTCAGTCCCCAGGCGATGTTGAGGAGCCCCTCGATGATCAGAGTCCCTTCTTCCTGCGGGGATCCACACATCAGCCCTTCCCACAGAGCACCTGTCCACCTTCCCTATGCCCCCTCGGGGTGCAATGATCTGGACATTCAGGCCCTGCACGTCCCTCCTCCTGAGTGGCTGGCCCCGTCCCCTTAGGAAGGACCACCAGCCATTACGTGCCCTGAGGTGTATGGCCAGGCCCTGTGGGAGGAAGCCTGAGGCTTGCTGAGCTCATGCTTGGCCAGGGGCACGGCTCAAGATGCAGCAGCTGAGTCAGGTGTCCCACAGGAACCCAGCTGCTGGCCAGCAGGCACGTCCACACTGCGACAAGGAAGTGGTTCCAGGGATGCACAGCTGGTCTGCTTGTGCCAAGCAAGGGACCTCTCTGCCCACACTACACCTGGAAGGGGATCCTGCGCCAACAGGTCCTGTGGCCACCAGGCCCTGTGGGGTCCCACGCCCACCAGAGCAGAAGTGGGTGCTCTCTGTCCCAGCTGTGTCTCAGCCTTATCCTTCTCCTGGTGCCCCCCGACAGCAGCAGCATCCACTCGCCACGGCTGACAGCAGGTCTTGCTTTTCTCACCACTGCTAGGACATCACTAGCCCTACGACCCACAGCAGAATTTCTACAACAGCCTTCATCCCATGTCTCCAACCTGCCTCAGTTTTCTTAGGTCTGCAGGTGATATGGCTCCTCTCCTGCTGCCAACCTGGGGTCCTAATCAACAGAGTTCTCTGCAGGCACCTTGCTAGTGCTGGTCGGCACCCATCAGGCCCTTGATTCAGTGCCTCTGACCTATTCCAGGTCTCAGTCTCTGCAAGACCACCCCAGTGCTCTGTGCCAATCCCAGTCACTCCGTGCGTGAGCCTGGCCAGCTGCGTCATTTGCCAGAACACTTGCTGGCAACGTCAGCTGCCCTCTCTCCAGAGCCGCAGTCTCGAAACTGCACACTCCTAATCTGCTCTGACTCTAGTCTTTCCACAATTAACTTTGAATGTCATTCTCCCATTTCCATTTCAACCAACATTTAATTTTATTATTTATTTGTGTTACATTGTGGTAAGGACATTTAACATAAGAACTACCCTCTAAACAAGTTGTGAAGTACACAATACTGTATTGTTCACTGCAGGCGCTATGCTGTCCAGCCCATATCCAGGACTTATCTATCTTGCATAACCGAAACATTATATCAGCCGCATAGCAACTGCCATTTCCTCCTCCCCTCCCCCAGTCCCTGCAATCATCATTTTCATTCTCTGCCTCAAAAAGCCTATTTTAGATTCCTTATATAAGTGGAATCATCCAGTATTTCTGACCCATATTTTAGATTCACAAATCCCATTTCGCTCTCCTCGTTGGCACCAAAAGCCCTGTGAGAACAGGGACACCAAGGAAATTTCTTCATATCCCTGGCAGCACTCAGGAAGACCCTGCTCAGTGTGAATTTCATGGCAAATTAGCAATGGGGTTTCTGGGTTCAAACATCCTGCCATCCAAAGAGAAAACAATGAACTTGAAGGTTATCAAAAATACACACGGCTTCCAGATATGACCTTGCACTATCTGCTAAAAAGGAAAACAAACAAGCAGAAACCAGAGTTGTTTTTGATACTCACTAGCGCTCTACAAGCACGACGTGTCACTGAGCTCACTATGAAGGTGAGGCCAGCATGGAGTTCAAAGGTTCATGGGGGTTCTGTTCTTGCCTCTTGGCCTCAGGTGCCTCTCAGTGGAGAGAGCCTGTGGGGATGATGGCTCACTCATGGAGACCCACTGCCCTCCAGCCCCACCCTGGACCCCAGGCAGAGGGAGATGGAGCAGACACAGCCCTGGCCATGAGGTGCTCAGGCTTGGATGCAGAAGGGGATGCAAGGGAGATTCCTGGAGGAGGTGCTTGTTCACTGAACCCTGGAAGACAGGTGAAGGCGGACACAGAGGAAAGCTGAGCAGGTGGCACTGACTTGGGGACCTGCCTGGACAAAGTCAGGGGCTTGGCTGTACTGGGGACAGGCTGGCTTGCCATGACTCAGGCCAGATATCCCTGCACAGGTGGCATGTGTGCTCTCAGCGTACCTGCTCACCACTGTTTACCCTCCCCCAGCTTGGCTGAATCTGAATGGAGGGACAGCCCTGTCCGCCAGCAGCGAATTCTTCCATCTCCCTCCTCCTTTCAGTCTCTTGACTAATCTGCTCATTGCTAACAAATTCAAAGAGCCAGAGAAACAGACAAAGGGTCTACTAAAGTGGTAAGAGCTTGGGCAAGGTGAGAAGCGCATGTGCAACTGAAATCCTGGTCACTGTCTCAGGCACTCTGCCTCCATGCCTTTCCTCACGTGGGGTTCCACCTAGAATCCAGGGACTTGGGACTTCTGGTTCCTCTTGCTTGCCTGGGGAGTCTGGGATCTGCCCAGTACTCAGAGCTCAGGCTTGGGCTACCTCTCGGTGACTCCCCTACCTGCAGCACAAGGCAGGCGTGTTCCAGGTGGGGCTGTGGCTGGGACTGGGGCAGAAGATCTATGGCCTGTCTGGGGAGTGCGGCATCTTCCTAGCAGCTGCCTCCCTCGTCCTTGGCAGCCTCCTTTCCTGGCATAGTCACTCCTGGACAGAGGCAGTGGCTTTCTAAGCTGTCCAGGTGCTCCTTGGCAGCTTCCGCCCCCCAACCTGCCCCAGCCCAGGCCCAGCAGCTGAAGCGATCTTTTGAAGCAGAAGCCAGACTGCCCTGCCCTTGTTCAAACCCTGCAGTGTCTTTCCCTCCCTCTTGGAGGGAAACTCAGCATCCACGCCAAGGCCCACTGACCCCTCCTACATGCGCCAGTCTGTGGGCCCCTTGCTGTGCTCTGAACACATCCATCCGGCGTACTCTCACCACAGGGGCTTTGCACGTGCTGCCTCGCCACCCAGAATGTGCATTTTCCCATTTTTTTCAGGTCTCCACACCATATCTGCTCTTAGGGGAGACACCCCTGACCACCATACCTGCGGTGGCAGCCCACCAGTGCGCCCCACCGTGATACTCTACTTTTCCTTCAGGCAGCTCTTGGTGCCTGAATCGCAGCACCCATTCATCTCTGGCTTGATCTGCCCTCTTACTAGAATATGAGCTCCAGGAGGCCACGCCTTGGTCTGCTGCCACGTTTGCCGTGCTTAGAGCAGTCAGTGCACACAGCAGCACTGCACATCTGGTGAACAAGTAACCAGTCCTCAGAAGCACCCCATCTGGGGTGCAGCAAGACCAGGGTCAAACCCCGAAGACCGCCCTTGGTCCCATGGGTGGGGGGTGTTTCTCTCCTGGGAGCAGGCCTAGGGACCTCGCGTCAGCTGCCTCCAGGATGTGGCCCTGTACTGCTGGTTTTTTATCAAAGTTGCCAAGGACCTGGCCCAGCCTCACAGGTGCAGGCCTAGGGCTCTGCAAGGACCAGCAAAAGGTGTGGGGTCAGCACGGGCTGGTGTCATAGAGTGGGGAATAAGCTTCGGGGCAGAAGGGACCCCTCCCTCTCCCAGTGCCCCGAGGTGACCAGCAGTGGGCCCACCCCTTTCCTGCCTCGCAGCGTAAACATTCCCCAGCCTCCCAAAGGCAGAAAGACACCTCCAGGCTGGCAGCTGGGCCAAGCCCCGCCCACCGAGCTGTTTTCCTAAGAGAGCCTCCCTGAGCAGGCTATTTTTGGCCCTCGTGACAGTGATTGATAGCTGGTGGGAAGGTATAAAAGCAGCTGCCTGCTGAGGTTCCTCAGAGAGCTCAGGGAAGAGCCTGCCACGGTGAGCTGTGGGACTCAGAAGGACTCAGTGCATCGTCCTCCTCCCGGCCACCCCACGCTGGACCCCCTGCCGGACCCTCCACCCTTCGGTCCCCCAAGCTTCCCAGGGGCTTCCTGTAGACTGCACTGTCCCTGCTCATCCTTTCTCCTGCCACCCTCAAACCTCCTCTGCTCCAGGTAAGAGGAAGCAGCTGCCCTTGGGTTCGAGACAACACACAAGGGCTTTGTTTATTTCTGAGGGCACTTCCCAGCCTGAACTTGCACAACCTCCCTATGGCCTAGAGACCAGGGCTGCCTGTAGAGGGCTTTACATTTAAAGGGATTCAGATGCTATTTCTTCATGCGTTTCCCACAACATCCCTGCCAGGGGTATTTACAACCCTGTTTTATGGATGGGTAAGTGGAGGCCTGGAGAGGTGGCCTTGCCAAAGGTCAGTGCGTTGGCCGATCCTGGGTTTAAACCCAGGTTTTCTCTGACCAGTGTTAATGTTAAGTTGGGTTGTCTTATCAGGGCACATTGTGAAACCCTCATGATAAAATCTTAAGCCTGTGGGCTTTTAACCTAAACAGGAAGAAAAAGCCCAGGAGTCTGCACTCTGGTCTGGGCTCTGTGGACTTAGAACTGCTCTCAGCGCACAGGATTCCTCCAGGCAGTCCCAGACGAGCGTGGGGACCCTGAGGGGCCGTGGGATGCATGGCAGGCCCTCGCAACCTGGCCTCTGTTTCCCGACAGGTGCTGCCTCCTCTCACTAGAGTGATGAGGTCCCGGCTGCTGCTCTCCGTGGCCCATCTGCCCACAATTCAGGAGACCACAGAGGAGATGCTGCTTGGGGGGCCTGGGCAGGAGCCTCCAACCTCCCCTAGCCTGGATGACTACGTGAGGTCCATATCTCGACTGGCACAGCCCACTTCTGTGCTGGACAAGGCCACAGCCCAAGGCCACCCCAGGCCACCTCACAGGCCAGTCCAGGCCTGCCGGAAGGGCCACCCTGCGGTGTCCCTGCGGGACATCACTGCACGTTTCAGTGGCCAGCAGCCCACACTGCCCACGGCCGATGCTGTGGACCCCCTGGACTGGCTTTTTGGGGAGTTCCAGGAAAAGCAGCCAAGCCGGAGGGACCTGCCACGGACTGGCCCCTCTGCTGGCCTCTGCGGTCCGCACAGACATATGGACAGTGGCAAGGCCAAAGGGGCCCCCAGAGGGAGGCTCTGTGAAGCCAGGATGCCTGGGCACTCCCTGGCAAGACCACCACAGGATGGGCAGCACAGCTCTGACCTGAGAAGCCGGACTTCTGGGCAGCCTGGCCAGGCCACAGCCTCCCCCCGCAGCCCCCGCCCGGGCAGTGTCCTCAGAACTCTCTACCTGCACCTCCCGGTTATCCATGAACTCTGACCCCTCCCCAATAAAGACTTCTGTAAAGAGCACGCCACCGGGTCTGCGTCTCCTCCATGGTGGTCACTGTCCCTGGGAGGTGTCTGGAAGGGAAATGCTTTTCTGCAGGAGGCCCTGCGTGGGCAGTTCACATTGAGACCGACCCCCTCTGAAAATGTTAACTGCCTGTCTCACGCGAGGAGATATTATCAATCCCATTTGCTCTGATCCTTGCTGGCTGACCACCTTGAGCAAATGACTTAACATCTGTGTTCCTCAGTTTCTCATGGGTAATACGCAGATAATTACTGGCACCTGCCTCCCAGGCCATTCTGATGAGTGAACACATGACAGGAGCCCATTCGCCGAGTAGCTAGTGGGGAAACTGGTGGTAGGGGTGTAAGGGTAGTGGGTGCCAGCCCCCTAGGTGTTTCAGAGCAGGGCCTTGGGCACTCCCAAGTCCACCTTTTGGCCCCCACTCAAAGTCCATGTTCCGTGAGGCCCAAGAGAACACATGGAGTCTTAGCAAATGCACCGCTGTGTTTTGGGGGACTGTCACCTGGCATCACTGGGACACTGCTGGCTACAACTCCTACATCCTATGGTGGCACTGGGAGAGTTCCCCATGATGATGGCCGAGACAGAATCTGTACCACTGATCCCACCATCCCCACCTCACACCACCTCCACTCAGGAGCCTCATAGCTTGGTCAGGATCCCAACTGTGGGTGGGAATCAGGGCACCTTCCAGCTGCCCTCCACCGGATAAGTGCTGATGTCCTAAGGCCCAGGCCGAGGCATCTGGAGTCTGGAGGACCCCAGTTCTTGGAGGCATCTGGCAGCAAGCAGGTGAAGGCAGGGGATGGGAGGAGGGAAATTTCCTTCCTTATTGAGGCAGGTGAAGCGTCAGGGAACAGGAATCAGGCTGGCTGTGGTCAGAAGTGAAGGGACAGAGAAAGGAGAGGAGAAAGGTTGAATTGGGGGCCACAGCCAAGCTCAGCTCACCCGGGCGTGTCTCTGCCACCTTGCTTTGTGAGCTGTCAGTCTATGTCTTTCTCTTTTTTGTGGCTATTTTTAATTGCTTTGGACTTGTTAAATGTTTATCTGTCTCCTGTTATGTGTGTTTTCTGGGGAGACAGAATGTTAACCATATTAAAAGGAAAAAGTTTCAGACAAGCAATTAATTACCCAGTATCCTTATCTATAAAATGGGGACATCAACAAGTGTCTTTCACACCCTGCCAGGGCTGGGAACCTGAGCATATGAACCTGGAGCTGCCGCTATGAGCACCATAGACAAATGTTTGTATCTGCCACAGCCCACTGTGTATCTGTGATGGTCTCCAACCGGCAGGTCCCTGACCTTGGGCAAATGTGTAGGGCAGCCTTCAGCCAACCATCACCCTCAGGAGAGATCACCCACCAAGGTGGGGTGGGGGTTGGGGGGGGGTGTCCAGGCTTGCTGGGCCCAGCCTCACTACAGCCCCTTCTGCCAAGTGTCATCAAACTGGGTGAGAGGGAGAGTCCAGCAATGAGGATGACGTCAGCAGACTCCCCCATGCTCAGAAGCCACCCCACTGCATCTGGAGAGGTCTGGCAGTGTGAGGAGACCCAGGAAGGCGCTCCCTGGGGTGGGGGCTTCTGACAGTGTCCGAAGCTCCTGCGGAGAGGCCCAGGGAAATTCCTTTCCTTTCCCTTCCCTTCATGCTAAGCCTCCTGGTGGGGCCCTTGTAGAGCAGTCTTATTCTCCTACTAGCCACTGGAGAGGGGGTGTAGACAGGGGAGTGAAGAGGAGAGTGGAAGTGGGGGTGGGGGTGGAGAGGGGAGTGGGGGTGGAGGTGGGAGGTGGAGGGGGGGTGGAGAGGGGAGTGGGGATGGAAGGTAAAGAGGAGAGTGGGGGTGAAGAGGGGGTGGGGGTGGAAGGGGAGTAGAGAAGGAAGTTGGGGGTGGGAAGTGGAGAAGGGAGTGAAGAGGGGAGTAGGGGTGGAGGTAGGAGGTGGAGAGGAGGAGGGTGGAGAGGGGCATGGAGAAGGGAGTGAGGATGGGCGGTGGAGAGGGGAGTAGGATGGGATGGAGTGGGGTGGGGTGTGATGGGGGATGGGATGGGGGTGGGAGGTGGAGAGGGGGTGGGTGAGGGTGGGAGGTGGAGAGGGGGTGGGTGAGGGTGGGAGGTGGAGAAGGGGTGGGTGAGGGTGGGAGGTGGAGAAGGGAGTGAGTGGGACACAAGGCCCTGCCCAGAGCCGGCAGGCTGGGAAGCGCTTTGCGACTCCCAGAAAACTTTTTCTTGGTGCTGGCCAGTCACTCCGGGGGCCAGTGGTCTGCCGGGTCTTCGGAGAGGGGACAGGGCAACTCTCCCAAAGTGGGCTGCTGGTTTTCCGCACCCCTGCGAGAGACAGAGCTCCCGGACCAGAGGAAGCCCTTTTCGTTTCCCGCATTGCTGAGGGGTCCCGGGGCAGAGGAGCGGGGCTGGGTGTGGGGCGGGGCTGGCTGTGGTGCGCGCCCGCGGTCAGCAGGGGGCGTCCCCAAGCCTCAGCACCGCCCAGGCGGGCGGGGCCGGCAAGCAGTCCCCGAGGAGGGCAGGGCTTCCAGGGGCACCCTTGCTAGTGGAGAGACGTGGGTTTACACAATGTAAGGACATTTCCCGGCGGTCCGTTTTTCTTTTGAGATACCTGCCAGCCTGGTAAAAGCCCTTTGCCATCTTTAAAAGGCACAGACTGCCCCCTATTGCTCAGGCCTTTTGTTGTAATACAAGCAAAATTATCCCAAAGGCAAAGTTCGCAATAAAGGAAGTCGGCGCCTCAGCCTCCAGAGAGGGCGTCTCTCCTCTAGCCCCTCGGAAGCGGGGAGAAAGCACACAGAGAGATGCTGGCCCCAAGGCGTGGCCCTGCCCACCTTCTGAGACTTGGGATGACAGTGGAGGAAAAGGTGCCCCAAACCCTACTGCTCAGGCTGCAGGTGCTGAGGGGAGGGTGGGGGGCGTGACAACACGGGGGGGGGGGCGCGGAATCTTCCAGGCGGCTCTGGGAGGGCACGCTGGGTGGTAAGTCCCTCGCCAGCCTGAGAGACCCTTAGCTTGGGGCTTAAGGCAATAAACAGCTCCCTGTATCCCTGGGACCTGTTCACTGACACTGGGTGGAGATCTCTAAAGCTTAATGCTGGAAATGGTATTGCTGATTTGTAAGTGGCTGTGATCTTGGGGCCATGGCCAGCACCTTTCACTTACTGCAATGTGACCTTGGACTCTGGGAGCTTCAATTTATTTCCCTGGAAAATGGTCATTCTTATATTACCTTGTATTAAAGGAGAGGCAAAGTGCCTGGTGCGTTGGAGGTTCCCTGGGGAAGTGTCCGTTCCTCTTGCCTGCCCAGCCCTTGGGGCCTGTGGTGAGGAGAGACTGGCCTGAGATGGCTCTGCCCCTACAGCAAGTGGCCAGAGGCCCATGAGGTCGTCGCGGGTGCATCCTAGGGCCCCAGTGAGACCTGGAGGGGCTGACTGTTGTGCCTATCAGTGTCACAGCCTGCAGCCTTGTCTTATGTGGTGATTGTGACCCAGCAAAAACACACACTTCTTCAGGCTGGTACCCCCTGGGCTGCTAAGGCTGCAGAAGTTTCCTGAAAGGTACTTTCTGGCTCCATGGAGATCAGGTCAAACCCTCACACTTTCTTCAGAGTTAGGGACAGGAAAATTCCCCCGGTGGATTTACTTTCTATCATCAGGGGCTGTCCAGAACACCTCTTCCCGGCCTTGGAGTCCCTACTTCTCTATGCGGCTGTCCCCCACACGCAAACACACAAACCACAAACGCACAGCAGAGGCTCTTGGGGTTTCCCACCCCCCACAGCTGTTCCTACAGAGGGGATTATCTTGGTGAATCTCAAGTGCCAAGACTAAGCTCTGACTAGTGCTTTTCAAACTTGACCTTCCACCAGAATGCCCTGGAAGACCAAGAGTTTTCTGTTCAGCAGGCCGGGGGGGAGCGGGGGAGCGGAGGGAAGGGGAGTGGTAGAAACTTGCATATCTAACATGTTACCAGGGCAGCTGGTGCTTGGATCACCTGTGGAGAGCCACCTGGGGTTTAGATCAATCCCTGAACAGCCAGAGCTGAAGAACAGCCACGACCACACGCCAGGCCTCCACCGGGAGATCTGAAGTGGTATGTGTTAGCAGCACAGATGGAAATCCCTGCCGCCCCATTACCTACTGCCTCCTGCCGCCCAGCACAGGAGCTCAGGAATCAGGACTCACCCCAACTCTCTCTAGGCCTGTACCTGCTGGTTAAGTCATCCGCCAACTCTGCACAGGGACCCCCAGGGTGCAGGGCCTGGGGAGTGCAGGACGAGGGCAGGCAGGGTGAGACAGGTGTTACAGAAGCAAGTGTGAAGAGGTGAGGCGGGTGGAGAGGGAGCGGAGCAAGCTGTTGGCCCCGTGGCCTGGGCAGGTCAAGGAGGTGGAGCGTGAGGTTTGTGCCATGACTGGTGGTCACAGGCAGCCCAGCACAGCCTGGACCAGGAGCCAGAAGCTCCCGAAGGGTATGACATCTGGCCTGGAGCAGGGGGCACCTCAGGGGCTAGCTAAGGCTGTCCGGCAGCAGGTTCCAGCCTGCCCTCTGACCTGCCACTAACTGGCAACTCCCGGCTGCCCAGAGCTGCCTGGATGGTGGGGTTAGTTTGCCCTGGGAGCTGTAGAAGGGGGTCTGAGTTACGGAAGAGGGAGGACTAGGACTAGTGAGGAGGTCTTGGGTTTCCTGGGGCTCCCTGCCCATTCCTCTGTTCAACAACAAAGGGGCACTTAGAATCCATCAGTCCTGGTCAGACGCTGATGGATGGGAGAAAGTCCAGGAGCCAACCCCATCTCAACTGCAGAAAACCCCCAAAATGGCCTTACCATGATAAGACTTGCCATTAGGTGGTAAAAATATGTTGAGCTAGACCAAGATAGGGGCACAAAGCCCCACCAAGTTTCCCGTGTGAACCACCAGAGGATGTGAATGACAAGACGAGGGCTCCCCTTGCCCTGCCCAGTGCGTGGACCTCCAAGCCTAGGCCCTGCGGAGTCCAGCCGGTGCCCAAGGGCTGTGTTTGGCATCAGACGTGTATTTAGCCTACATGATGTTTCAAGATTTGGGAAAGTCCTCATGAAATTCAAGATATCTATCCTCTTTTGAAAAATCAGAAAGGGTCTAGCTACACCAGGCCCATGGTCCCGCACAGCAGGGATGCGTTTGATCTGATAGGTGGCCGGCTCCTTTGGTGGGGACCCACTTCCCACACCTGTGCTGCCTGCTGTGAGTATCTGAGCCTGTAAGCCCCCGTGTAGCCCCACACCCCACTTTACAAATGAGAGCACTGGGGACCTGGGGTTCCCATGAGGCTCTGTAGACCAAGTGAGACCCTGCAGATATGTGGCGGGTCCAGCAGGGAACAGAGAGGGACTGATTCCTCCATCTGCTGAGTGGTGTGCTGGGCAGAGGAAGGACTGCTCTCAGCAGCCATTCACCTGGTCAAAGGTCTCAGGGGAAGGGGGAAGGCCCCCAAGGTGATTTCTGCTCCTGGGAACTCTGGAAGGGATGTGCTGACCCTCTGCAAGGGAGATGACCTGCCTGCTGGTAATCTGGTTCCTGACTCAGGGTCAGAGGTAAGTGAGGAGAGTGACCATATAATTAATTGTCCAAACTGGGCCACTGGTGAGAGTGAAGGGGATGGTCTTCATCACTACCCTGAAACAGTAGGTGTCAGGCAGGGCCTCGCAGGATACATGGTGATCCCATGAACAAGAGCGACAGGCTCACCTCGCGGTGTCTCAGCTGGAAGCTCTTGCCCTCGTGGTAGCAGTTGTAGGTTTTCAGCAGGCCTAAGAGCTCCGACCTAGAGAAAAGGAAAGACACACATGTACACCTTGGGTGTGGTGTGGTTAGCTTCTGGCTTCCCTGTCCTCTGTTGCCTCATTTGTAACAGGAGTGTGATAGCACCCGTCTCGCTGGCCAGGCATGACCAGCGGAGACTAGACTGTCATCGCGATGCACCCTGTGGTCTCCCAGATGGTTTTGCACGTGGCCCTGGTGGGAGGTGTAGGGGTGGGGCTGAGGAGGAGGTGAGACTCTCGGGACAGGCCCATGTCTGGTCCAGGATGTCCAGGGTGCCGACATTTTCACTGTCACAGGTAAAGCCCTGGCAGCCTCCCTGCCCTCCACATGCGTTGCTTCCTCACAGTAAATGCCCTGGGCTTGCTTGTGGCATTGTATAGCCTCTTGCTTTTCCCCATGTCATGTCCTACAAGGCCTGCTGTGGCTGCTATGGGCCACCCTGAGGGGTGCCTGCCTCTTCCCCACCCTGACTTTCCGGAGGTGCAGCAGAGGGACGAAGGTGAAAGTCCTGTGAGTAAGGCCCTGAAATCTGCAGTAAGCCACTCTGCCTGAATGCTGTCTCCCTTCCAGAAGGGAAAGCCACAGCCTGGCTGATGTTGGGGGGAGGGGAGGCCAGACAGCTGCCTGAACCCAAGCTGGGTTCTGTGGGGCAGCGGGGCCAACAGATGTGGGATGTGAGCCACACTGGTAATTTCAATCTTTTACATGTTAGGAGGTGATACGGTTTGGATGTGTGTCCCTGCCCAGATCTCATGTGGAATTGTTGGAGGTGGGGCCAGGTGAAGGTGTTTGGATCATGGGAGCAGATCCCTCCTGAGTGGCTGGGGCCATCCCAGTGGTGATGAGTGAGCTCTTGCTCTGAGTTCACATGAGGTCTGGTCATTGAAAAGTGTGTGGCACTGCCCTCCACTCCCTCTCTCTTGCTCCTGCTTTCGCTTGTGTGAAGTGCCTGCTGCCCCTTTGTCTTCCACCATGACTGGAGGCTCCCTGAGGCTCCCCAGAAGCTGAGCAGATGCCAGCACCACACTTCCTGTACAGCCTCCAGAACCAGAAGCCAACTAAATCTCTTTTCTTTATAAATTACCCAGCTTCAGCTATTTATAGCAACACAAGAATGGCCTATTGATACAGAAGGGAAAATGAAATACGTGAAATTAGCATTAATAACACATTTTATTGAACTCAATATATCTAAATTACTATTTGTCAACATGCAATCAATGTAAGGTTATAATAAGGCCTTGTACACACTTATTTCATATAAAGTGCCTGCATCTGGAGCCTCTGTTCTATGGCCCATGCCTTCCAGCCATGGTCACGTGTGGTTGGGGATCCCCTATTGGACAGGCTCAAAAAGAAGCACCCCATTGCTGCCCCCCAGTGCACCTCATCAGATCTCTGAACAAGTGCTCAGAACCCCTCTACCTAAAGGCTGCCCAGGACAAGGGAAATGGCAAATGTGAAGACCCTCCACCCCACCTGCGCACCAAGGCTTACTTCTGAATAGACTTGCTGTCGCTGATAGGCACGTGAGAACTTGGCAGACAGTCTTCCTTCATCTTCTCTTCCTCTTGTCTGCAGACCTAGAATTTACTTGCTGGGAAGACAAGGAAGAATACATAGACATATGTTCACATAGGTGAACCAGAGGAGCGCCGGCCAGTGCAGCACCCAGTGCCCAGCACCTGCAGCCCTGGCACAGACACCGTCGGCCTTGGCATCACACCGCCCGGGCGCAAGGTGACTGCGGCTGAAAGGGTCTGGCCCAGATCCACATGATTACACGTCAGCCAAGCTGCCCTTGCTTGGTCAAGGTCATGGTGAGCCAGTGACACTGGTCCTTTCAACTGCCCACCCCAGAAGACTCTCCATATTCCCCAGGAATCCAGATCTGTCTCCTAAGCATTTAGAACACGTGCTCCCTTCCCTTGGCTGGGACACCCTGACAGATGGCTTCTGCCTCGGTTGCTCCTGGAATCCTCCGGAGCTACCTTGGGCCTGTCTCCTCCCTTCCCACTGAGCCGGGCTCTCCTGGCAGTGGGTCAGTCGGCACTGTGTTCCCTACGTGCTGTAGACGGTTGGCATCTTCTCTGAGTTATCTCATCCAGTTCCTACAACAATATTGTGAGGTCAGTTTCACCCTTTTCCCATTTTACAGATGAGAAGACAGGGACAAGAGCTGAAGCACTTTGCCCAAGATTACCAGGAAGTAAGCAGCAAAGCCGCTGTCCCAGCACAAGCATTTGGTCTCTTAGCTCCTTCTCTATACCGATCTCGGGCAGTGACTTAAACTCCCAAGCTTTCTTTTCCTCATCTGTGCAGCAGGGTAATCTCTAGCCCACAGGGTCACTAGTGGATCCACACAAGCTGTTCACACACATTGTTCCACACACACAGTTTCCTCTTTCCATGCACAGCCTTGACTGTGCTCCTTGAGGAGCCGCTCCTGCTCTCCCCAGGTTTCTTTCACGGAAGGTAAATCCACCAGAGCTTTCTCCATCCTGTTGGCATCTGCACAGCTTCCTCGTCCTCTCTCTCCCCATGTTAATGTGGCCAAGGACTCTTATCAAGGCTAAGTCCTCTGAATGCTGGGCAGGAAGGTAAAGCTTCACACACACACACACACACACACACACACTCTCTCTCACATGCACTCATACACACGCACACACACGCACACACTTGCACACTCACACATACACCCAGACATACACACATATTCACAAACACACTTGCATGTACACAATCACATGCACACACACAGTCTCTGACATGCACACACAAACCTACATATACTCACACTCAACACATACAAACACGTTCACATGCACACATGCAAACAACACACACATGCAAACACAATCACATGCACACACACACACACACTCATGCACACACACTCTTACGCACTCACTCCAGTGCTGACCTTTCCTCTATCTTCCATCATCCAAGTTGAAGTTCAGGGCTGGGGGTGTTAGGACACATTGGGAGGGGGCACAGCCTGGGGCCACACTACGTTCTACCCCTGATAGAGCTCCACTCATTCACAATCTCCCAACATCTGTTCACACAAACCCATCACGTCTTCCCGGCCCCAGGTGCAAATGCTACCTGGGACTCAAGCTCAGCTCCACCTGCTGTTGTATTCATTAATGTCCTTAGAGCCTGTCCCTGAAGAATGCCTGTCTCCTCGGGCACTCACTCAGACTGGTCCAGTTCGCTCTTTCCCTCCTTGCTTGACACCCGCAAATGTGACGAGCCTGCCCCCTGTGCTGGCATCAGCCCTGCGTGAACCTGTGATGCCAGAGGCAGGGAAATACAGTTGGCCTGAAGAAGAGAAGGATTAGAGGGAGCCGGTGTCCTGACGACCTCAGGATCAGCCTATTCATATCTCCCCTCCGCCTTGCGCCATAGTGAGGCACCTCTGTGCCTGGAGAGAGGTCAGGCCCCCAGCAGCAAGGCCTGGAGTCGTGGGCTTCTTGCATTTTTCTTGGCCAGGCAACAAGGATTTCAAAATAAAGTTTCAGTTCCTAGGCACCTCCGATTGCCCATGGAAAAAGTGATCTGTCCCCTCTCTGGGTAGTTCCTCATATGCTTGCGAGCCAGAGGCTACAGTTTCTCAGCCCACACTGCTTCTGTGGGTCTTCAGCACAACCAAGTCTTGCTTTCAGCAAGCTCATTACGGGAAGGGCTGCATTTACCCCGAAATAACAGGCGTTGTTTTTTTCTCTTGCCTTCCTCTGTATCCAGCTTCCACCCCAACTTCCTGCTTTAAGCCCCGAACCCACTGAGCAGTTCACGCCCCCCCAAGGGGCCCTCCGTTCTTTCTTCCCGTAGGGCTTTTATAGTGCTGTTCTCTGTTCAGAACCCAGCTTCCAGCTACTCCTGTCCTCTGATGTTAGCTTCTGCTGGAAACCCTTGCCAGAGAAGCCCCACTCCATGTCAGGGCAGCTCCTCTCTGCCCCATCACCTCCTCCCATTTCCCCACTGGGCCCTGCAGAACTCACCTCTTGTTCAGACTTCCCTCCCAAAAGAACAGGAACACGGGGAGAGGGTACTTTACCACTAGTTTCCAGCACCAAGCATAAGCCTGGCACAGAGCAGGAAATCCACACATGGTTGTTAAATTGCTGAATAAATACAAGAAGCTTCTAGACTCCCCCAAGTCTACTCTTCCAGAGCTGTGCACATACAGCAGGAATAAATAATGTAAAAGTCTCCAAGGGCCACAGAGGTGACTCCACTGAGGGACACTCGTCATGGGGTCCATAAGGAATAGTGGGCACATTCCTTCTCTGATGGGGCAACTCTTCTGGCATTTCAGAAGAGGCCAGAAATCTGATTTTTTCAGGGCTATGCTTCACTACTGAAAGGTGGGTGGCTGGCAGAGAGGTATGTACTGTCCCTAGAATGCCCTTTGCAGACAGCCGGGGCCGTGGGCCTCATTCTGACCACTGAGCTGTGAACAGAAGTGCTGTGGGTGCCTTCCAGGCCAGCACCTTTAAGGGCCAGCACACAGCCCTCCAGTTCTCCTGTCTCTGCTGTGGTGGCTCAGAAAGCCACGTGTTTCAACTGTGCAGCTACTTGATGGTCAGCGTGGGTTCCTGAGTGACTGTGGACCCGAACTGTCTGCCAACCCACACTGGATATGGACTGAGAAAGAGAAAGAAGCCTCTGCCAGGATAAGCCACTGATGTATCAGGGATTTGTTACCGCAGCATAACCCAGACCAGCCTGACTCATGGAATACATAATCCATTAAAACAACATATAGGGGCCGGGCGCTGCGGCTCACACCTGTAATCCCAGCACTTTGGGAGGCCGAGGTGGGTGGATCACCTGAGATCAGGAGTTCGAGACTAGACTGGCTAATGCGATGAAACCCCATTTCTACTAAAAACACAAAAATTAGCCAGGTGTGGTGGTGGGCACCTGTAATCCCAGCTATTCTTGAACCCGGGAGGCAGAGGTCACACCACCGCACTGCAGGCTGGGCAACAGAGCAAGACTACATCTCAAAAACAAAAACAAAACAAAAACAACCCCCATATATTTACTGTAATATTTTATATTTAACTATATTTATAAATAAACCAAACACCTTTGCAAGACAGATACACTTAGTAGTGAGACAAGAATAACACAGGTGGTCACAGGAGAATAGAAAATTCTAGGCAGCCATTTCACACGACCAGCAAAAGGAAACTTAAAATTGGGGTCATAAGAAGCTAGGGGTCATAGGACCCTAAAAAAGTCAGAGTGTGGGCCAAGCTGGCTACACAGACTGAACCCGACATGGCACTGGATTTGACCTAGGTTTCTCCAGGACCTCACTAGATGCCCGTTAACGGGGCAACTCTCTGGGACGCTAAATCACACACCCACGGGCGCCATGACAGTTCTGGAACACCCATATTTTGTGTAAAAATGGGTAGCACCACAGTTTCAAGAAAGTTCCACCTTTTTCCAGGAATCTTCTTGGATATGCCACCCCTTGGTTAAAGAAACCCGTCAAGGCAGCAGGTCCCAACTCCCTTGCACACTCCCACTTCTTGAGTGTGTACTTTCACTGTTTTCTAACTCACATGAGAAGGTATTCAAGGAGTCAAGAGTCTGGTCCCTAGCTGGGGTCGAAGTCCCACCAGTGTTTGGGGCCCCCCGAGCCCACTGGTATCTGTAGGGCTCCGGTTTATGACTTCTGATTCACAACACGGCATGATTTACATTTACTTCTGGTCTCCCACAGCATGTAGGGAAGAAGTTGATTTTGCCGTATGTAGTAGGAACACCTAGAAGTGGAATTTCCCATAAGTCAGGCAGTGGTTACTTATTCATAGAAGATGCTTCCTGAAGAGCTCTGGGGTGCTTAGTTGCATGCCTTCTCTTCTCTGGGCCTTCATTTTCCCAGCTGTACAACAAGAATATTGACCTTCAGTGGGTTTGAAATTTTCTTAACTGTGGAAAATGTATGCAAAACAGATTAAAGGGGGTTGCCATGGTTGACAGTGAGGTGGTGGCAAGGGCTCTGGGTAATACTACTTGAAAGGCAGGGTCCTCCCTTGCTGGCCTTCAGGAGTGCTTTTCCCCACACACTTGCTTATTTACAGGATGCAGCCAACATGCTGGGTGTCTCCAGCCACGACTGGATGGCATCAGCTGGGGGCGGCTGCTCAGAGGAGAGAAACCAGGAGGAAAGTAAAGGAGAGTCCTAGACTGCAGATGGCAAAGTGAAGGGATAAAGGGGAGGTGGGCTTGTAGGGTAAACAGCAGGGGCAGAGAATGGGGCACAGCATCCCGGGGGAGGGCAGGGGAGTCAGGGAGCAAGGCTGAGGGAGGTGGTGCAGGGCCCACTGCAGCAAAGGGAGGCTCTTCCAGCTTGCTGGGCTGGGTCCTGAGCCTTACAGGGTGGGTACCTGGGCTCCGCACAGACAGTCTTTCCTTTGAGAGAGGCACTCAATAGCTTCATGGCCATAAGCAAGGGAAGGAGATGAGAATATTTTATCCCCAACATAGACCTCTTTGACATATTTTGAAATGGCTGCCACTGGCCCATCCCGAAAGACGTGGCTGGCAGAGTGTCTCCAGTGGGAAACTTTG